CCGCGGCCCCCTCCTCTCCCTTCTCCCCTAGCTTCCCTGCCTACTGAGTCTTTCTCTGAATCCTCCCTGGACCCCACCTTATAATTAATCTTACCCTTTAGTAGGTTCCCATAGCACCTTGCTTCTATCATATTTCATTATCCCTTTTATTAGCTTTGCTGATTTTTCTGCCAAACTGGGCGGATGTGTCTTATTTATCTTGGTATCCCAGCACTGGGGACATAACCTGACCTGGATCTATTTCACCAAATATTTATTGAGCGCTTCCTGTACTGACAGAGAAAGCTAGGACAGTTTCCATCCTGCGATGCTAAGTTTCTATCATATTTCATTATCCCTTTTATTAGCTTTGCTGATTTTTCTGCCAAACTGGGCGGATGTGTCTTATTTATCTTGGTATCCCAGCATTGGGGACATAACCTGACCTGGATCTATTTCACCAAATATTTATTGAGTGCTTCCTGTACTGACAGAGAAAGCTGGGACAGTTTCCATCCTGCGATGCTAAAAAAACATGACTTACTCCACAGGTGACCCAAATGTGTTCCCACTCCTCTCTGAAGCCATCCAGTGCCGGGCTGACCAGACACAGTGTGACTGTGAGAGAGAGGGCTGAGGGGCCCCCAGCTCTAGGGGCCAGGGCAGCCTCGATTGCCTGCCTCCTTAGGCTTTATTGGAATTCTTATCTTTAGATACCATCAGTGGGTGAGTAATTGTGGGAGTTCACATGTGTTTACATTGTCCTCCAGGCAAGGGCATCCAGGGATTAAGCATAAGGATTCCAGTAAACACCCGGGGGTCTGCACGTGCACAGGCTTGTTTGGGAAGGTCAAGGACTAATAGGGGAGTGTCGAAGGCGGCGCCCCTGCAGTCTCCCCTAAGTTGGGATTCCGATGAACAGAGCAGGCGGCCTTCCACACACTTCCCTTTACTCAGAATGTCCTCCTTAAACTTTCCAAACAAGTCTCTTGTGCTCCCCAACAATCCCGTAAACTTTCCAACCAAGTCTCTTATGCTCCCCAACAATCCAGTCCCGTGCGGATAGAGGACTCGATTTGGCTGGTACAGAAAAGGATGACCCAGTAAAGAGGTAGAACCAATTCTACTGAATTCTCTTTTTCCTATCGCAGTATAACTTAGATTTGAAATGCTCCAAAGGAAGCTGCACTTGTGTATTTCCATGTGGGGAGCTGATCCCCGGGGCTGGCCCCTGGCATTGCCATTTATTCCAAGTATCTTCTCTTGTTTGTATAACATCTGTTATGCCAAGAACTCTGCAAAAGTGTATTCAGCCTGTGGATGCATCCCTTCACCCACCAATAAAACATATGCCCCTTACATGTAAGACAGAGCAGCCATCCCAGGAGACCATGATAATTTTACAGTAGGGTGGGGGTGGGGGGCAGACGTAGGGGGAAAAGCTGTCTACTCTTCCATTAGTTCCTGACATGAATAGGAAATATAAGAAGTTACCAAATCTCATCATCATTCACAGGAACGAGTTTTTTTTTTAGTGGAGGCTACAGTTAAGTATTTTGCAAACCTGACCTTGTTCTGTACTTCCAGAGCTTTTAGTCAGCCATCCGTCCCAAAAAACCACAATGTGGACAGTCAGAGCCACATAAGCACTACACGAATATGAGGACGTTTCCATAAATGGAGTTCCAAAAATGCGTTGAGCAATGGAAGCATTTGGATACAGAAATTGGAACCTGCATTTGAAAAGTTACTTTACATCAAATTGCTTATGCATATACATTAACTGGCTCACAAAGTTAGTTTTTCTTTGTTGTTACGTCTCTGCAGAGTAGAATGAGACTAGCAACATTTGTTAGAAAACGTTACTTCACTTTCTAGAGCAGTGGTTCTCAACCTTCCTAATGCAGCGACCCTTTAATACAGTTCCTCACGTTGTGGTGACCCCCAATTTCATTGTTACAAATTGAACATAATTAAAGCATAGTGACTAATCACAAAAACTATATGTAATTATATATGTGTTTTCCGATTGTCTTAGGCGATCCCTGTGAAAGTGTCGTTCGACCCCCCAACGGGTCGCAACCCACAGGTTGAGAACCCCTGTTCTAGAGCATCTTCTACATAATAGAACATATATAACTTTCCGCAGAAGGTGGATCTGGTGGGGCATTAGGAAGGTTGAGAACCGCTGATCTAGAGCATCGTCTACATAATAGAACATATATACCTTTTCGCAGAAGGTGGATCTGGTGGACAAGGAAGATCAAGTCCAGGGCTTTATAAATTCTGCATTGTTTTTCTACTTCAGATTCAAGACTCCCAAACTCAGGTCAAGGGTTAGTTGTGTGCCAGCCTCTGTAGTTGGTACTGGAGAAAGATGACAGAAATCTCATCTGTATTCATGTGGAGCTTATATTTTGATAGGGTTGGGGGTCAC